AAATTCTGTCATTAATTGCTCACCCTCATGTCATTCCAAACCCGTAAGACCTTCGTTCATCTTTGCAACACAAATGAAGATATTTTTGATTAAATCTGAGAGCTTTCTGACCCTCCATAGACAGCAAGGTTCCTACCACGATCAAGGCACAAAAACGTAGTATAAGGACATCGTTAAAATGGTTCATGTGACATCAGGGGTTCAACTGTAATTTTACGAAGCTATGAGAATACATTTTGTGTGCAAAGTAAACAAAAATAACAACTTTATTCAATGATTTCTTCTCTCCTGGGAGAGTCTGCCGCCATTAACGAGAGTACCACGACGCATGCGTGTGTGTTCATTTGCCGGTAAACAAGGTGCAGCACATGCGGGGTCTACGTCAGCAGCACCACACGCATTCACCGTGGGTCAGACAGCTCTCGGATTTCATCAGAAATATCTTAATTTGTGTTCTGAAGATGAACGAAGGTCTTACGGGTTTGGAACGACATGAGGGTGAGTAATTAATGACAGAATTTTCCTTTTTGGGTGAACTATCTCTTTAAGTGTATCATAAAACATTGTTGACAAGATCTCATGACAGATGCAATTGGATACCACTGGAAATGCAAGTTTAGCATTTTATAAACAATGTTTGAACTGGAACGTGATAATTCAGTCTCAACCTGTTCTGCACGTTACTCTGTATTTCACTTTCATTCATTTCATTTCTTGTCATTTCCAGTCTTCCTGTGAAGAAATCCTGAACGAGGGTCAAAGGTTCAGATGAAGGGAACCTACGCTTCCAAGACTCATGTATGAACAACTTCGAGAATCCATGTACAATTTGAGGTTTCTTCAAATCTCAACATAGAACTTGGACTGAACATGCAGCAAAATAAAAAAAAAAGTAGTTTCCTCAAACTGGCACATGGCAAGAGATACTAAAAGCACACAAACACTTGGAGCCCTGCTCTTAATTTAGATTGTCTATGTAACGGAGGTCAGCGAGTAGGTGCTGTGGCGTTACATATAGTTCTCTTATGCCGGGTTCAGACTACACAATATTTTTGTCGGTCACGATAGTCACTGTCAGATTACACGATTTTGACTCCTAAAATCTTGTTGTGGCGTGGACAAGAGACATGTCAGACTACACGTTGCTTCCCGAACATTCATCGCGTGCCGTCTTTAACGACGCGCGTGATGTCATCGAGAAGGCGGAACTAGCGACTGACTTCCGAAAACAAGAGTGTAAACATTGCTGAAGCGCTTCCGCTATAGTTCGCCAGCATTTTTCTTTCTTTGTTCTGTCGTGGTAGTCCCTCGATGACACATCATACAGGCAGGAGTACTGTTGCCACAGCTCCACGAACCTTTCCTCCATCTCATAATTCCTGTCGTGAAGCATCGCAGACGCGGAATCGGTTGTCGTCCACTATGACACACTACACGTGCTGAAACGATGGAATCTTGCGTCCCGACGCCCATTGTCGTTTACAAATCCCCACGACACCCTACGTCAAGCAAATCGTGGCAAAATCGGGCTAAAATAGTGTAGTCTGAACCGGGCATTAGTTTCACATTGAAATGTCAGGCATGAGTTCATGAATCGTTGTTCTTTATTTTCAAATGCTGTACAAGAAAGTGTTTTTTTGCAGTACCATGTCAATTGTAGATGCAGATAATTTAGCATGAATTAGTGGTTAGTAATCTAACTTAAAGGGTTAGTGACACTTATTATGTGACAATTATTAACACTAATGTTTTCTCCTATAGGAAAATGGTGTCAACACTAGAACATTTCACTTGACTATTGACTATAAGTCTATAGAGGTTGTTATTAATGTCAGCCCTGTCTTTGTATTATTTTTTTCCCATGTATTTGAAAATGTTTTGAATCTTGACTGTTTCACAGTGAAGCTTATCTTTGTGACCACTATTTGGTGCAACACCAATATTGTACAAGTACCTGCTCATGTTTTCTTTTTTCTGCCTGTTGCTGTTTAAAACTAAAAAGTGTTCCACAATACAAGCATTTTCAATGGTGCTTTACACATTATTAAATTAATTGATGTCATAATATTTTTGTCTTCACCCGTTTAAGGCAAATAAAAGCTACAAGGGCACATGATGCATTTTCACTTCTTCTTCAGGTCACAGCTGACCTGAGACTCTTCTTTGAAGCTCCCTATGAAATAACAAGAGATAAAATACTGTCAAGTTCAACAGTATAATGAATAAATATTAACATCAAATCTGATACTTTAACCTGTTAACTTGCGTACCCGTATTTTAATCTCTTTAACCTATAGTTGCGCCGGCGCCAATGAAGTCATGCAGTTAACGCGCAAATTTAACAGAAAATGTCCTGGTAATTTTCTGCCAGTACATTATCAGTTTTTTTTACAGAATTTTTTTTTTTTACAGTGTGCTGTAAACTTCAATTCATTATGTTTTTCCACACGAAGAGCATTTAACAGTGAGAGAACAGTAGTGGAAGAGCTGGAGGGGTGCTAACACAACCCCACTGCTGCTCTATTAATGCACCTTATGTAACCCATCTGAATGCCAGTGTCCCTGTGTCTTTCCCAGACAACTTCTGCTTAGAGTCACTGCATTCACCACAAAATGGAGCCAAGTGACCATAAAAAACAAGCGAACATCAGAAACATTTTCATTGATTGCCTCACATTTATTTGTCCTCATGCACACAAGAGCCCCATAGGATGAGTCATTGAATTTGCTGAGGTTCCCATCAACACCCCGGGCGTGTGGTTGCCATGGCTACATGGCCCGTCCCTGGAGTCATAATGTCAGTATAACACAACTGTAAATGCATTTCCCAGCTATACTGAACACACGATACAAGTAAATGAGTTCTGAGTTCTAAATATATCTATTATTTATGGGCATTTTTTCTTTATGGAATAGCAAAGTACAGAATAACAGGAGAGTGTTGAGGGAAAGAGATAGGAATGTGATCGGGCATCTCATAAGGAATGCATAAAAAAAAGAAAAGAAAAAAAAAGGAATGCTTCGATTGTGACTGGAGGTTTTGTGAACCAGTTCAACCATTATTGTAAGAACTTTGTGCCCTTCGCATGAAAATGTAAATATTCATGTTCTTTGTTTTAGATCGGGGTCACCAAACTCGATCCTGGAGGGCCAGTGTCCTGCAGAGTTTAGCTCTAACTTGCCTCAAAACACCTGCCTGGAAGTTTCTAGTATACCTAGTTGGACCTTGATTAGCTGGTTCAGGTTTGTTTAATTGGGGTTGGAGCTAAACTCTGCAGGACACCGGCCCTCCAGGAGCAGGATTGGACACCCCTGTATAGAGCCACTGAGGATGGTATTTCCCAATAATATGATCATCTTGGTTCTCTTTGACATCTACTGTATGGACAAGAAATACAATGGAAGTCAATGGGAACCAAAACTGTTTGACAATCAACATTCTTTAAAAGAAAGAAATTCGTAAGGGTGAGTAAATGATAGAATTTCCATTTTTGGGGGGTGAACTATCCCTTTAAGTACACAGTCCTGTACCTTTGTCTTTTCATCAGATTTTTTTTTTTCCCCCTTCAACATTTGTATTATTGTCATGTTTTGGTTAATGACTTATAACACTTTAACTAAGACATTTTTAAAATCCCTATGGGAAAGATACTTCCGGAACCAAGCCCACTGGAAAAGTGTTTGACTCTATTGACAGGTTTACAGAATTGACAACCACGTGACTCCCAAAGGCACAAAACGAGGACAGGAAATGTGGGAAAACACAGGTTGGACCATGAAATAAAAGATGCTTCCCTTGATAAAACTCTGAGACATAATGTTGACACAATCACCCAAGCACACACACAGGACGAGTTCTCCAGCAGACAGTTAAGGGCCTGCTGTAAATACTTATCAAAGATGCAAATATATAACTTCAGCGCCTGATTACACTTATATAACAACTGAGGCATCATTTATTAGATTGCATTTGTTTTATTTATTACTTAATAGCATTCTGGGAACTCAGACGCCCGTGCTACCGCACTGCTGTCTAGGTAGGCAGCGCACTAGGATTGAGACGCAGCCACTGTTGCCAACTAATTGCTAAATTTGTTGCTAGGTGCTTTTGGAAGAAAAAGTTGCTAGGGTAGTCTAAAAAGTTGCTAAATTTAGCAACAAAATTGCTAAGTTGGCAACACTGGACGCAGCCTGTGAGGCTATTTCCAGCGCTTTATCTGCTTACCTTTGAGCTGCGGGAGCGCAGAGACCCCCGGAGCCGCAGGCCTGCTGCTGCTCGCCGCAAACTGAGACGAGCCCTGACAAATCCTCTGCCTCTGAGCCTTCCTCACCGATTTCCGCGTGAATCCATTGAGATGTGGGAAAACACAGGGTGGACGTGAAATAGAGATACTTCCCTTGACAAAGCTCTGAGACATAATGTTGACACAATCAGTGTTTACACAGTCTACACACACACAATCCATGAGTTTCCCAGCAGACAGTTATAGGCCTGCTGTAAATAATTCACTCGTGGCTTATCAAAGATGCACATATAGAACTCCAGAGCCAGATTACACTCATATAACAATTGAGGTGCCATTTATTTGAGTGTATTTGTTGTATTTATTACTTTATAGCATTCTGGGAACTCAGGCGCCCGAGCTACCCCAATGCTGTCTAGGTAAGCAGGGCACTAGGTTTATTAGACGCAGCCTGCGAGTCTATTTCCAGCGCTTTATCTTTATCCGCTTACCTTTGAGCTGCGGGAGCGCAGAGATCTCCGGAGCCGCAGGCCTGCTGCTGCTCGCCGCAAACTGAGACGAGCCCTGACAAATCCTCTGCCTCTGAGCCTTCCTCACCGATTTCCGCGTGAATCCATCCACTTTCTCGGACGCAGATATCGCCGACATTTCCAAAGCAGGTCGAGCCGCGTTTACAGTGACTGAATGTGCCCTAACGTTATATGTTTTCTAGTCTGACTGACGTCCCATTGACTGTGCTGTATATTAAACTCACAAGACCCCATCTAATGACACGCACTGTCAACCCACTCATGAAGGCTACATGTTCTCGAACAATCCACAGGTATCCTGCGATGAGAATTTGGGGACGGATGACTGTAAACACGTAGTTAATAGTAGGTTTGTATCATGCCGAAATGTTCAAACAAGCGCGCCTTATTAAACCGGTTACTCCACGTAACACAATTCAAACTCGGCCGACATACAGCGAGTCACAATCATCCAGTCGCTTGGAACAGGCTCCATGTATTGGCGACGCGAGGAAAGAGTTTAATGTGAATCCGCCCGGCCGCAAAAATCCTCGGATTCGCTGAACTTCATTCAGCTGCTGTTGCGCCTCACTGGGGTCTAAAAATAAATCCCCGTGGCGCGGCTGAGTGACAGAATATTCATCCAATGAGCGCTCGCGCAGACAGTAAGCTCCGCCCCCTGACCAATCAGATTCTTGTTTTAATTGTATTTCAAGAAATATACAAAGCCAGAGGTTCGGTATCCTTGAAATTTGTTGAACACAGGCAACAAATGTTCACAAACATTGAACCACTCAAATGAATAAATATACAAGAAAACGTGCACACGTAAGAACTAAATATCAACGAGAGCTCACAAAATAACAGCGCGCTTGAACATAGTTTGCGAGACTTGTAGCCTAGTCAACTGAACCAGGAACGGGTCATCAGTTTCTCAGCCCGTTCCAAACCTATATATGACCCAATTTCTTCTTTGGAACACAAAAACAGAGGATGTTAGCGATTGACAGCGCTAACTTGACTTGGGCTGTCATTTTACATAACTTTTCATCACAAAGAAGAAAAGCACATGGTTTTGAAATGGCAATTTTCATTTCTAGGTTAACAATTCAAATACACAGAATTGCATATTTGATTCAAAATGGGTTATTAGTTAAGACTGAACAACTCAAATCCAAAAGCAAAATAGTTTTAACCACCCATGCTAAACACCGGAGACAAAAAAAACACAAGCAAGACAAGAACAAGCAGGATCGAAACATGGAAGCTGGACTATCAGGTCGAGTCACATTCCAGACAAACTTTTAAGAAACAGCCCATGGCATGGAGTCAGTAAAAAGTGTTTAAATCATTTCGAAACTCACTGCATTATAGGTATTCAATAACTAAAAAGCACTGAGCTAACTGAAAATGGATTTGTCATGTAAAGTGCTGCTTTACAATCAATAAAGAACTCTGAAAATGTGACCGATGTTCATGGCCAGACAAGCTCAAAGGGCATTACAGATTTGGAAAGTCAAAAAAATATTAAAGTACAAACAGTATGCACATAAAATTCACCTAGAATTTGATATATATGCAATTGTTTTAAAATGCACATTGAATCGTGTACTAAACTCAAAACTATTTTCAATGCATCACAGAGAGACGTGGAAGCTTCAGAAAACCTGTAGAATTTAATTGTGGTGTCAAATGACTTCATCTTGTTTTGTAATGTTTACCAAAATGATCAATTTGACCCTTTTTGAAACTTATTTAAAAACAATTAGATTAATATATATACACATCACATACATAAATACATAAGCTTGGTCTCAAAAAACCAGACCTGAACTTAAACCACAGATGTGTGTCATTGATTTGACAGACACTAATCTCTCGCCACACAATGATTAGTCTTGGGTTCTTTTCACAAAGAAGCTAGAGATTTTTTTCATGGGTCTGGAGGGTGATGCTTTCTTGGTTGGTGGTGGAGAGACAACTCTCATGGGACATGGTGAGACTGCTGCCTTAAAAAGACAAAAAAAAAATACATAAAACTGATTTTAAAAAAGGAGTTACAAATTTAGAGAACACTTCAGAACAATAACAAAAGAATAATGGTGTAAAGTAAAAACCACAACACTGAAATATTACAATCATCATGCATCTACTCACTGAAGAGCTGTGTGTTCTTGCATCGTGCCGTTTGCTGCTTCTGCCGCCGTTGGGGCTTTTTGGTTGAGCTGATCCTTTAAATCTCTGGCTGATCACAGAAAGCCAATCAGTCCTCCTCGGAGAGCTGTTCTCTTTGCCAGTGCCAACCTGACGAGCTGAGCTGAGCTGAGCCTCTGTTTGCAAACTGAATAGGTCACCTTTCTCCTCTGGACAGTTCTGTGTGCTCACCGAACTCCTGCTCCTCTTTACGTCAGGATAAAATTCAGACACCCCGTAACTCTCCTCTCCCAAACCAGGTCTATCACCCGTTTCCAGTCGCCGCTTTGCTCGGCGTTCAGAGGAGGTGCCCTGGAGGACAGGTGTGAGCACCTTACGAAGAGGGGATGTACCGCGGTGACCGGGGGAACTACTGCGGCTGATCCACTGCTGGATGGACGAGGGCATTTTGGGGCTGCTGAGTTTGGCCGAAGGTGCAGATGTGTTTGATGGCAGGGGTAAATCAGCACCCGTAGGGGCACAAGCAGCAGGCTGGGGTGAAGCCAGAGAGACGGCCCTCTCTGAGCCAGGACTTTTGGCTGGAGTGACTTCAACAGGGCTGTAAGGGTCTGAGAAGACAAATGGTAGTCATACATAACAATTAAACAAAACAAAAAAAATCAAGAAATCAACTGTTTGAAATTATGAATTTATATTAAAAAAAAAAAGAACACACTATCAGTCAAAAGTTTGGAATAATTAAGATTTTGTAATATTTTTGAAGCAAGTCTTGTATGTTTACAAAGGCTGCATTTGATCAAAAATACATTACAACAGTAATAGTGAAATATTATATCTATATATATAAAAAAAAAAAAATTTTTTTAAAAAGTCTTCTGTCTTTCCAGTGATGCAAAGCTGAATTTTCAGTATCATTACTCAAATAATTCTAATATGCTGATTTGGTAAACAAGAAACGTTTTGAATTATTAATGTAGAAAATAGTTTTTACCGCTTAATATTTTCATGGAAAATGTGATAACACCAAAATTTAAATGGTAGTGTAAGTAAGATTTTAAGAAATTATTAATTTATTTGCATTAACATTCATAATTTTACAGAAAAACATCAATTTCAAATAAATGCTGTTCTTTTGAATTTGTTCGAAGAATACTTAAAGATCATGATTCACAAAAATATTAAGCAGCAAAAACTCTTCTCAACATAGACAATAATAACCATTATAAATATGAATAATAGATAATAATTGAGCACCAAATATTGCAATGATTTCTGACACTGAAGACTGGATTAATGATGCGGAAAATTCAGTTTTATACCAATCACAGGTTTAAATTAAAATAGAAAAGAGTTATTTTAAATTAATATTTTACAACATTACTATTTTTGCTGTATTTTTAATCAAATAAATGCAGCCTTGGTGAGAAACTCCTTTCAAAATCTTAAAAAAAAAAAAAAATCTTAATTATTCCAAACTTTTGACCAGTAGCTCTGAATCTGAAATAAAAAGTTTCATACACGTATACACCAAAAACAAAAAAAAAGACAAAAAGAGAGCCCTACCAGGTGTTCTAGTCGGTGACTGGATTTTACGAAGTGTCCAGCCTACGACGTTTGGATCTCGGTTCAATGAATTTTCTCCATCTGGTCTGCGGTTCAATCGCCAGATCCTAACAGTGTTGTCATCAGAGCAGGAAGCGATCTGTAAAAAGAGTGATGGATTTGACAATTTTCAAATTTAAAGATTTTTGCTGTTGTTGTATTTAAAAGTACCAACCTTGGTGAAATCGGTGGGGCACCAGGCCACTGATGTGACTTCCTGGCTATGGCCTTGAAGCATCATGGGAGCTCGTTTTGGGTCTGAAATCTGGAACAAAAGCAAAGAATGCAGATAGTGACCACAGATGTTCTCAGACAGGTTAGATCTCTAGTTTTCTAGGTTAGTCTTACCTTCCATATATAAGCATGATGATCACTCGAACCACTGGCCAGGAACTGGTCATCTGGGCTGACACTGGACTTCACATAAAATGAGGAGTTACTGTGACCACTGAAAACAGCAACTGTGAGAGAGAGGGGGAAAAAAAACAACAACAAAAAAAATTATACATTACATTAATGCATTAATTCAACAATAAAAAGAAACATATTTACAATTTACCTGGAGTTGTTTTCAAACCGCTGATGTTGAACATGTAGATATTGTCATCTGTGCAGTTGGAGAACAGTCTGGAGCCAGTGGAGTCCAGTGACAGACCAGAATAACCTACAGGGGAAAACATCACAGTGAGAACTAACACTAATTACTAATGCACATTACTATTGGTCTAACGACAGTGTGTGCGTGAGATGTGCACCTAGTTTGCGTGTGCAGGAGCCTGGGTAAGGATAGGCCTGTAGAGGGAGGGGGTTGGGGTGGTATGCAGTGTAGTTCTTCCGCAAATCCCACATTTTAATGATCCTATGAGGAGATATGGGAAAACTTTCTCTCAGGACATCAGCATTCATCAGGTTGAAAAGTGTGACAGAATGTGGTAACGGCATATATTATTTAGAAAAGATATCTGTACATCAATCCATTACGCACTCACCCATCTACTGCTCCTGAAGAGATGAGTTTGCTCTCGTCGCAGAACAAAACCACTGTCACACCCTGCTGGGAGTCCTAAAAAGAGAGAAAAATATCTGAATTAGTAAAAAAAGAACTTCCATAGTTTCTATTTTGTTTAATGAAAAAGCTAAATTCAAGGAGCATTCCTACAATATATCAAGGCTGTACCACACCGCGATATATCTTCCAAACAACTGGGAAATGAACGTTTCCTCAAAATGAAATGTTCGACTCACCACAGGGGGCGCCATCCCACGTCTCTTCTTTATTTGAGGTGTGTATTTTTCAGGTTTCATATGGGCACCCGTGATCTGTTTGACTTGCCTGTAGAAACCATCTGTGATGGATGAAAACATTTTAGTGAGTTTTAGAAATCATTTTGATGGCCATAAGTTTAAGATTTGGTGGGAAGAATAATAAAGAACCTTTTTTACTGCATCTTGTATCCCAAATCATTATGTTCCCATCTCTGCCTCCAGTGCTAAAAACAGCTGTATTGACAGAACAAACAGTTTAAAAACAGGCCACCAATACATTTTATTTAAAGGGGTCATATGATGCAATTTCATTTTTTCCTTTCTCACTTTAAACCGCATAAACACATTTCATTACACCAAATACACAAAATAATGTTCTTTTTAGCAACATCATATGACCCCTTTAATAAAAAAAAAAACACTGTACAAATACTGTAATACTTCTATTAAGCCTCATTTATTTATTTTTTGCAATTTAGTAATTTTAGTACTTCAACTTATTCAGTTAGTTGTCAAATCAATATTTGAATCTTCTTTCGAGGGTTTTTTTTTTTTCAGTTCACGTGTTTCCATCTAATATTTATATCAACTTATCAATTCAATTATATTGACGTAGCATCTTATTACAATGCAGTCTTAATTCAGTAGTCATGCAAATATTTATTTTGTAATTTTATTCCAAGTTTCTGTAAATATATGTCTTCATTGTTGGCAGTCGGATCAAGTATAGCATCAAGAAATATGTTTTTAAAAATGTTGATTAGATCTTGTTAATGTGTCACACGGGAAATGGAAGGAGAAATTGAGTGCATCACATTATCAGAGTATCAGTATACTGCACATAACAATAGTAAGCCACTCACGCATTTCATGCATAATATATACAGTATATATACTGCACATTAAGAGTAGTATCAGAGTATACTATTTTGACAATAGTTGTAAGCCTTATGTGATCAGTAGATTTACCTCTCTCTTGCTTGGAAAAAGCTACAGATTTAAGGCTGCACTGATGTCCTTTAAATGTTCCCAGCAGGTCACCAGTAACAACATCCCACAGACGGGCCGTTTGGTCACCAGACGCTGTTACCTGTAAATGAATATTTCCATTTAAAAAAAATAGAGCGTAGGTCTTCAGCCCTGCTCCTGGGGACCCACTTTCCTGCAGAACTCCAACCCTAATCAAACACACCTGAACCAACTAATCAAGGTCTCCAGGACCACTTGGAAAGTCATAGGCCAGGTGTTCGGATACAGGTTGGAAAGAAACTTTGCAGGACAGGGGGTCCCCAGGAGCAGGTTTGTAGACCTATGATATATAAGGGTATATCTAAATATAAGAACTGTGCAAAACTCACCAAGCTGTTTGCACCAGGAACCCAGGCAATATCAAAAACTGCATTATCGTGTGCCTGCCACTCTGCAAAACACAAGTTCAACATACATGAATTATTTTCACAGAAATAACAAGTATCCTACAAAAATCACTCTTGAACCTGGGTAAACATAAACTAACCTTTCAGGACAGAACTCTGTTTTTCTCCAGTATTGAAGATGGTCACAAACCCTTCTTCATTTGCAACAGCAAGGCTGTTCTGTTGGCCAGGGGCTGAACAACAAATAAAACACCACTAAGTATTAGGCTTTACGCGGTCTTGGGGTTCTAGGTTACTGAGTACATTTGAACTTAAATGAGTACCAGAGGAAAATGTGCATCCAAACGGCGGCACAGCAGCAGCTGAGGCTCCGTATGAAATGTGTTCATCCCATCGACAGCACTGGTATCCATCCAGCAGAGAGGACAGCGGATAGTCCCGACGCTGACCTGTTTATTAAAGGACTTCGCGTGAAAAAAAAGTCCAATAACATAGATTTCCATCAACATATCTAAATTGTACTCACCATTCCATCTTCTTTTTATAACTCCCCGATCAACAACATGGTGAAAAAGAGTCATAGCTCCTGCTGGATAGCGGTTTCATTCAGAAGTGGTCAGTTTCCCGCGAACAATGAAAAAGCGACGAAGACGAATTCCGCGCGAGATGGACGTTCGCTGTTCTGATTGGTCAATAACGTCAGAATACCGGAAGTGTTGAGCCGCAGAGAGTGGAATGGCTGCTGGTTTACAACTGCTTCTATGGAAACTATGTAGGCAGCGTAACACTAGAGGCACTCTGTGGCCCGGAAAGTCAGCTTTAACAGTATACCTTTTTTTTAATTTTTTTTATTAAACACTTGCTTAGGGAATACAAACGTGAAGAAGAAGAAGAAGCAGAAGAAAAAAACATATGCCAAGGAAAAGAGCCAGGGGTTCAAGGATGGCTAAACAATACAGCAATTAAAATTCAGGAGAGAGAGAGAGAGAGAGAGAGAGAGAGAGAGAGAGAGAAATAACAACAACAAAAAAACAATTAAATTAAAAATAAATAAATAACTAAACGGAAAAAAAATTAAACAGATCACATAACAATAAACATAACAATCTTCCCTACAAAACATAAAAATTATACAAAAACACCAAAAAGAAAAAGTGAGCATACATTCCAAGTTTTAGTTGCCTTTTTGTTACAGCAGGTAGACTAGGATTTAATATAGATCTTAATATCTTCTTGAAAGTGAGAAAAATGGGGGGTAACTTTCATAATCTTGCATCTGTGAATAAAATATTTTGCAAGAAAAATAATTAGGTCGCAAAAAATGTAAACGTTTTCATATTGCTTCTCAAAAGTGAAAAATCCAAACAAAACATCTTTAAAGTAAAGATCAAAGTCAATATGCATGAAGATTACAATGAACTGGCAAATGTCTTGCCAAAGTTTTCTTGCATGAACACAATGCCAAAACAGATGCAAGACAGTTACTTTAACATTATACCTCTATTAAACATTTTGGTTATGATATAAATGTCAAAATTACAACACAAAAAGTCAGAAATATAAGATACTACGTCATTGTGAGATTAAAAAGTAGAAATTGTGTCTTATTAAGTCATAATTTTGAGTTAAAAGTATGGCTTATCTCAACATTTCAAGCTTTTGTGTCATAATTATGACTTTTGTAAAAATATATGTTCTTTTTAATGTATTTGTAAGAATGGAAATTATTTCTGATGTGAATCACAAAACAACAATAAATATTACTGCCATTTTATTCATTAATTAAAATGTTCCTTATCTGTGAATAACATTAAAGAATATTTATTTCATTTTATTTTATTTAAAATAAATCAAATATTTATTTTATTATACTGTGTAATTAAAGGTTGATTGTAGATAAATAAATAAATAAATAAATAAGCGTGTAACAGTATTAAAAAACATAATAAATAAATAATAATAATAATAATAATAATAAAAAGCCGGAGCCCGAAAACAGAGCAAAAAGTTTTTGTTTTTTTTATTAGCAGAGACTGAGACCAATCAGAGTTGACGCCGACACATAAGCCACGCCCTATTTGGACAAACGGTTTTCGCTTCTAGCGTTCTTTGTAGTTCAACGGAAACCCGACGTAAAGATCCCGGCTTCGTCTGTCACGTGACCTGCACTGCAGCCGGGTCATCCACTTCAAACTTCATGCACCGAGTCTTTCTAATCTACCGAATAAAACACTGAATCTAAAAACAGGCTGTCGTTCCGCATCTTTCGCAATCTAACAATAGATGATGTCGCTGTCCGCGGCGCGCTCGTTTCTGTCGGAGGCCGCTTATGGCGAGCAGGAGCTGGACGCCAATTCAGCGCTGATGGAGCTCGATAAAGGTGCCTCTTCATAAACACCACACTCTCACACACGTGCGTGTTTGTTTACTGCGTGATTGTGTGCTCAGATTAAATTACACATGCCTTATATATTATCTGTTCAGCCCATTGCACATTAACTTACGCAGTCATTCTCATTTTCTCGCAACTGAAGGTTTAAGGTCTTGCAAACTGGGTGACCAATGTGAAGCCGTGGTCCTTTTCCCCAAACTCTTTCAGAAGTATCCCTTTCCCATCCTCATCAACTCTGCCTTCCTGAAACTGGCAGACATCTTCAGACTTGGGTAATTATGCGCATTAAATAAAAATCCATATCTATTAGCTTTGAGGCTGTCTGTATGCTGTTATTACCTGGCTCTCTGGAATACTTGCTTCTGATTGGTCAGTTGCAGTGGTCAAATATTTCTGAAGAATGCTATTTGTCCAGGACAAGACTATGTAACTGACATCTGGAGATGTGTCCCTCTAAGTTGCGCTTCTGTTCTGTGTTCGTCATGAAATGTACACGCCATTGCATTTGTCTACATGAAATGTATCTGGAATTGAAATGTGTTTAAAGCTTTGTACTGAGTGAAAGGTTCTGAATCTGTCAAATTAGGAACAACTTTCTGCGACTCTGTGTGCTGAAGGTCACGCAGCTGAGCGAGAAACACCTGGAGAAGATTCTGAACGTGGATGAGTTTGTCAAAAGAGTGTTTTCCGTCATCCATAGCAATGATCCTGTTGCCAGAGCAATAACTCTCAGGTACTCTCAGACGCTGGTGTTTTCGGCATGCACTTCCTCAAAATGTTTTATTTTATTTTACAATCGTCATACGTTTCTTTTCAGCTTCTTACTAATATTTTATTTAGATGATGTTATCAATTATTATGTCAAAGACCATCCTAGAATATGCTCAGGAATAATAATGTGATCGTAGACATTGTCAACATATATGTTTTTGTGCATTTTGGCAGGATGTTGGGAAGCTTAGCCTCCATTATTCCAGAGAGAAAAAATGCCCATCACAGCATCCGGCAAAGTCTGGACTCTCATGATAATGTTGAAGTAGAGGCGGCTATTTTTGCAGCTGCTAGTTTCTCATCACACTCCAAGTAAGTGTACACTATGACAGCTGTACTGATAGACAGAATGTTTTTGTGCACTGGTGTGGATGCTAATATGGTTATTGTTGTAGTTATCTTTATAGTTGTCATTCTTGGTATGAACAAGCCTGGACTGAATAATGGATACGATAGATATATTAAACAATATATAATTTATCAACAATATATCACCCAGATAATTGTATTTATTTATTTATTTTTAAATTGTTATTTATTCATTAATTTATTTATTTTGAGTAAATGAACTGAACACATAATCAGAAATGGTAAATGGTCTGGGAAGTAGCTCTTTTAAGAGTGAGGAATTATAACTCTTACTATATTATATATTAGTTGCTGTTAAAAAGGGGGGAAAATACAAAACATTTAGAAAATATAAAAAATTGAAGGACTGATGGCATAGATAACTGGTAACAAGCAACTTTGTAACCATAGTTATAATTTTAATATATTGTCGAAATAGTCAGTGTTGACTTGAAGTCTGCAGTCCACAAACACTCACCATCAAATTGAACTGAACTTCAGCAGTTCTGCAAAGAAGAGTGGACAAATATTGCAAAGTTAGTAGAGACAGAGTCATATCCCAACAGACTAAAGGCTGTAATTAAAGCAAAAGGTGGTTCAACAAAATACTGACACAAGGTGATCCTTTTTCCAACTCAGTGATTCTTGTTGTTGTTATATCTTTCACTTATGTAAGATTAGTGAAATGATTCAAGGTATGTGCTGTCTTCATGTAAGTGATCCTCATGGTTTGGATTAGTGGTCTCCAGTCTGACTGAACTGTGTGTGTTTGACTGAAGGACTGGACACTCCAGTGGAGCTGAAGCTGAAGTTGATCCCGATGCTGCAGCACATGCACCATGATGCCAGTCAGGCCTCGTGCCTATACCCACTGTATATACACACACACACACATTATAAATGAAGTGGGCTGATGGCTAGTTAAAGTTAGAAAACAGAATTTAAATTTAAACATCACTCACTGTGTTTTTTTTGTAGAGATTTTGCTGCAGGAATTCGCAACAAGATTAGTGAAATGATTCAAGGTATGTGCTGTCTTCATGTAAGTGATCCTCATGGTTTGGATTAGTGGTCTCCAGTCTGACTGAACTGTGTGTGTTTGACTGAAGGACTGGACACTCCAGTGGAGCTGAAGCTGAAGTTGATCCCGATGCTGCAGCACATGCACCATGATGCCAGTCAGGCCTCGTGCAGCAGGGAGTTACTGCAGGAGCTGGTGTCCTCCTACCCCTCCACATCCATGCTCATCGTCACGCTGCACACCTTCACCCAGCTGGCCACCTCCTCACTCGTCGATATCCCGGAGCAGGTCAGCCTGTGTCTGTTGTTGTCTTATATTGTCTTAAAGCCAGTACTTTTAACTGGTTTTTGTTTTAATATTGTTTGTGCCACAAAATTGATCCATTCCTTCATATGTTTTTTAACAAAGAGAAAGGAAAAAATGAAATTGCATCATATGACCCCTTTAATGTACAGAATATTTAGAGCAGCAAATGACTCGTACTCAAAATCAGAATTACTTTATTTGTTACAGTAGTGTATCCACAGTAACATTGTAAAATCTGCCACCAAGTAAAACATTTTAGCCTACTCTCCAAACTGGGTCACAGATGGAAACATCCAGTGTAGACCACTTCATTGATTATAATGGTAACTATTTAGATTTGACATGTCGAACAAAATGCATTTCAGTTTTGAGCCTGTTGATTTTATTACACAATTTGAAGTCATATTCGCACTGATGCATTTTTTTCTCCCTGAATGATTATTTCAAATTAAAGAAAAAAAAATTGATTGTAAATGTAAAAAATTACAATTTATTTTTGTATGAAATTATAAAAATTGCCATTATTAAATGGTACGCTACCATTCGAAAGGTTTATTTTTATTTTTAAAAATGTATACTTTTATTCAGCAAATATACATTAAATTGATCAAAAGTGATAGAAAAAAAATCTATTTCAAAGAAATTCTGTTCTTTTGAACTTTCTGTCCATGAAATAATTCAGAAAATGTTTTTTGTTTCCACAAAATACTAAGCAGCACAACTGTTTTCAACATTGATAATAATAAATGTTTCTTGAGCAGCAAATCAGCATAATATGATTTCTGAAGGATCATGTGACACTGAAGACTGGAGTAATGATGCTGAAAATTCAGCTTTGCATCACAGGAATAAATTACGATTTAAAATATTCAAGTTATTTTAAATTGTAATAATATTTCACAGTATTTCAATTTAAAAAAATATATATATTAGTATTTTTGATCAAAGAAATGCATTGATGAAAATAAGAGTATATAAATGTATATAAAATGGATATAAAATGGTGATATGATGCCCTTGTCTGTGATGTTCAGTTCAGTTCCTTCTCATACAATTGCTCACAATTTATTTCTAACAATATTTCTTTTTTTTTTCTTTTTTGTCTTGTAGATTCATCTACTTCTCCAGTACTTGAAGGAGGATCCCAGAAAAGCAGTGAAAAGACTCGCCATTCAGGATCTCAAGCTCTTGGCTAAAAAAGCTCCTCATTTGTGGACCAGGAAGAACATACAGGTCAGACATGGATATTTGTGAAACAGCTGGTTCACTTCTTACTACTGCAAATGTATGTAATTTCCGAGTTGTGTGTTTGTAGGTGCTATGCGAATGTGCTCTCAGCACCCCGTACAACAGTCTCAAGCTGGGAATGCTGTCTGTCCTCTCCACGCTATCCGGTACCATTGCTATTAAACAGTACTTCAGCCCTAATACAGGTACAAAATCATGAAGTCACGTTGACTACTAAAAATGCATATATGCGAGTGAATACAGATTATTTTTATGTGGTCTTGTTACATTTCGCATGCGAGTTTAACCACCTGATCTCTCTGGATGATGCAGGTGAGGCGTCTCCAGCGCCCCAACACACTGACCTGGTGAAGCTGGCGCAGGAGTGCTGTTACCATAGTAACCTGGCAGTGGCAGCCCATGGAATCACAGTGTTGACCAGTATCGCCATTTCCTGTCCAGAGAAAGGTTGGTTTCTCCTCACCAAAGATGTATAGGCTTATTTAATTTGGGTTGTATAGACCCAACGGAGGTCAAAAATAGAGAATATTTAAATGACAACCTAATTTCAGAGGTCATCCAGCTGGAACAAGAAACCGTGATGGGGATGGAGTCTCTCATTCTGCTCTGCAGTCAAGATGACAGTAAGACTGCGCAGGACACACTTAAAGTGAGTGTTATTCGAGGTTTACAGAGCTTCCTAAGGGAGCCTGCAGCACTAGCCGGTGTGTTCGACTAGAAGAGGTGCGGCGAAGATCGGTCAGTGTTTGACATCCGCGAGAGCGATTCGAAAGTGCACGGAGCAGTCTGCTCTCTTTAGCTCTCGTGGTACTGTAATACATCGTTCGGTCTGCACAGTCAGTCCGCGTCAAGTCGAACACACCTACAAATTTACACCGGTTACACTCAGAGATGTGGCGCACACGTGAGGCTGTAGTGTGAATGCGTCCCAGCCCCCTTAGATGTAAGGCTACATTTTCACTGGTGCGTTTATGTTTTAAAATGAAAATGATCCTCGTCATACTGGCGTTTCCACTGCGTTTCAAGCCGGCTTTCTACTATCTCCGACAAGCATCATGCTACATAAGACAATAAATAAGATTTATATGCCGCTTTTACTCAAAACTCACTTTAAACCACCATCGAGTGTTTGTAATAACTTCCGATTGCCATCTAATGTGCGTTTGGCCATGTAATGTTGCTGAAATTAAATATGTTATTACCTCTGACTCTGAGTCAGAGCAGCGATCATGGAAGAGAGAACACAAGCAGCGCTGGAAGCTGCTAATGCTCTTCAGTAAATCAGTGGAAAATGAATAGAAATCATGATTCTGTCTGAGCTATGCATTTTAAAACGTACACGCACTAGTGTAAATGTAGCATAACAGATGTGTAAACTGAAGACTATTTGAGCTTTATTAAAACTATTTGCACTGATTTATTGTGTTGGTTACATGTTGTTCCTTTTGTGCAGTGGCCCATGAGATGAGTCTTTGAGTTTGTATAAGTATCAACAAGCTGAAAAATAAAACCAAAGTTTTTTTTTTTTTTAGATAATGTAATCTTGTTAAAATTGATTTCATAAAATTGGTATCGAAAAAAGTATCGTTCAGGAACCGGTATCGAAGTCAAGGTATCGGTATCGATATCGAAAATTTTTGAACGATACCCAGCCCTACTTATATGTGACTTGACCCAGCTGGCTCCTTCAGTCCTTGCGATGGTCTGAGTCCATGTTTCAGTAGACTCACTGAGCCAGATTCATGCTGTAGCTTATTTCGGCGTAGAACCGGACACTTAAGAATACTTTTTCGTGAAATTTTCGCAAAATTCCCAATCGAGCGAATTCCTATTGAAATGACTGTATTTTGCCTGTCAAATTTTGTTGAGCAGTGGAGAATGTGATTGCACCTTTAAGGCTTTTTTGCACAAATATTCGTCACAAATATGTAGTCCGTTTTTGGTACGCAATTTGTCTGTCCAGACCAATGCGAAAAAGATGACGGGCGGGCCGAATGAAAATACGAATTCACCTTAAAGTGGGACAGCTGGTACTCACTCAAATTTTTGCCAGTTGTAAAGTAAAGAGTACTGGTTATTTCACAGAAGTAAGTAGGTTCCACTTTGTTTTCTGAGGTAAGGTATTGTGATATACAAAGAATGTATGTCATTCAGTCATTTCAACGTTGACAAACAGAAAGCAGTTTGGTTTGAAAGTGAACTCTATTTGAGCTGTGCTTCATACATAGCTACACTATTGAAAATAGACAACTGAACAATTTTAATCTGCGAGTATGAGTGAGTTTCTTTCTTTAGTTGAACCCTAAAAGGAGATATTTTAGTATTTATATACTTTATATTTTAGTAACCAAACAAAAGTTGATGGTCCCCATTTATTTCCATAGTATTTGTGTTTTTCTTTTATACTATGGAAGTCAGCGGGGACCATCAACTGTTTGTCAAATGATGTAAATGATGACATGAGTTTTCATTTTTAGTCTTGAATTGTTAACTTTTTTTTTTTACTCAGACGGTGCTCACCTCTTTGGTGAAGATGTTGAAGAGCTGTCCTCATCTCAGTCAGAGTTCTGTGGAGCTCCTGCTGGCGCAGCTGCACTGCGTGTGTGACTCTGCGCGGGTGCTCATGTGTCAGGCTCTGGCTGCTATTGCCACACAGCAGCCGGTGCTGGCAGAGGGAATGCTGGGAGACCTGCTGGACCTCTTCAGGGTGGCAAGTCACAGAACCTCAGAGAAACAGCAGGAGCTTCTGGTAAGCAAATACAGAAATGATGTCCAACCGTAGCTGTTTAAGTCTCATTTTACCAAAACAGTCAAAGTTTGTCTTGTTGCTTTTCTTAGGTTTCCTTGGCAACAGTATTATTCGTGGCCAGTCAGGCTTCACTCTCGGCCGAGGTAAAGACAGTGATCAGGCAGCAGTTGGAGAATGTGGCCAATGGGTGGACCGTGTACCGCATTGCCAGACAGGCCTCCCGCATGGTGAGCTGGGCTATGAGGGAGGAAGACCTTTCTGACTCCATTGCCTGATGTCCCTTAAAAATCAGGAGCCTAAAGTGGGTTCAAATATAAATGTTAAAGAGATAGATCACCCAAAAAAGAACAGATTTTTAAGAATTTTGATAACCAGACTGTTTTGGTTACCATTGACTTCCAATGTATGGACAAAACACTCTCAAAAAATCTTTTATGTTCTTTCATGTCTTTAAATGAGAGTTCCAGCTTTAACAACAACGTTCTGTAGTGTGACATGCAGCACATCTAAAAGTTCTGTAATTTTTTCTAGTCTTGTATACATGGAGTTTTTATGATCATATTCATTTATAGACTACATGGAATATTTGTACTTTTAAAACTGGTTTGCGTCGGCACTGATAGCCTGTCATATAGTGCCGTTGTGCTACGGGTGTCCCGAGTTCGAATCCCAGCTCATGGACCTGATCCCGCCCCCCATCTCTCTCTCCCACTTCACTTCCTGTCACTACACTGTCCTATCTAAATAAAGGCCAAAACGCCAAAAACATATCTAAAAAAAACTGGTTTGCCACACTGGACACTTGTGAACTGCCAAAACGTTAAAAGGTGCTTTTTAAAATGAGGAAAAGGCTGTAATATTTTCTTTTACAAATAATTATTTTAACCTAAAATCTTGATTATGTTTGAAAAAAAAAGAGGTGAATGGACGGTCTTTCTTTTTTTTCCCTACCCATATATCATATCTCTCATTTTAACATTTACCGACATTTTTTCTTTTACATTTATGTAATTCCATTGTTTATGTAATTTGTATAATTACTATAATTCATCTTGATTAACAAACTCATATTACTTTGAATTGGTCAACCACAGTGAACCATATGTTCATGTGTTGTTCAGATATCCTTTTTTTTTTTTTTTCTTGCATTTCAGGACACTTACTATGTACTATTTGATAATATTTTTTCACGTTATTGTAGGCTTCTGATTTTTGCATTATTGTAATGAAATCAAGCCACAATGCACAAATTTATTATATTATACTTAAAGTTCTCTCAGGCGGAGCAGTGTCTCAGCGGCCTTTCAGATGGAGACTACAGCGCAGCCATGAGCGCCATCTCTGAAGCACTCAAATCCTACCAGAAGGGAATTGCTTCTCTCACGGTCAGGATTCGCCAGTCATGCTCTTTTTGCTTTTTTGCATGCTGTCTACCGGCTGCTTTTTTTGGTTCCTCTGTTGTTGTATTCATATTGAAGCACAGAAGACTTTTTTGTGACTGACTGTAATCCTGTTTCGCCTTCAGGCCGCCAGTACGCCGCTGAGTCCTTTGTCATTCCAGTGTGAGTTTGTGAAGCTGCGTATAGACACTCTTCAGGCCCTGTCCCAGCTCATCTGCACCTGCAACAGTCTGAAGACCAGCCCCCCTCCTGCCATCGCCACCACCATCGCTCTGTCCTCAGGCAGCGAGCTGCAGCGCTGCGGCCGCATTTCATCACAGGTGCTCAAAACACACAGACATCTCTATGCCTGCATACTTTGTGTGTTAATGTTTCTGCACTTGCCTCATTATGTGGTCTAAATTATTTCTAGAATTTTCTTTTGAGGATGGCATATTTATTGTGTTTTTTTTTTGTTTGTTTGTTTTTTGGATGTACTCAGATGAAGTTATCCATGGATGAATTTAGAAGTCTGGCAGCTCGCTATGCCGACCTGTATCAGTCTTCGTTTGATGCCGACTACGCCACCCTCCGTAATGTTGAACTGTATCCTTTGTTTTTCTTTGAGGACAATCTGTGTGCAAAAATATTTACTTTTTTTAATTAATTTTTTTAATAAAAGTTCTTATTGCTAATCATTGTCAAAAATGCTTCAGAGCATAATATTGTTCTATTTTAATTTATTAATTTTCTAGAATTATAAAGTAGTATTAATATTATACAATCGTTTGTATTAATTTAACAAACTTTTTCATTGAATTATGATATAATATACATTAGCAGTTAAAAGTTTGAAATAATTTACGTTTTTTAGTGTGTGTGTGTGTGTGTGTGTGTGGATACCGCAACACATTTATTTCTTTTTAAAATGTTTTTTTTCTTAAATTACATTTTCACAATATTCTTGTTTATACTGCATTTTTGGTCAAATAAATGCATACTATATGAGCATATAAGAAAAATCTAAATTTTGGTAATTAAATTTTATTAAAATTATAATTTCCATTATTAATTATATTAAATTTACAAAACATATATACTAACCCTAACTACATTTTAAAAAGTTTTACTAATTTTCTACAAAATGAATTTGCATGGTCAGTGTCACAGATTTGTTTACATTAGTGATTTGGTTTATACTGTTCCAAAAGTAACACTTTTTACTTTTTCAGCTGTTGTTTCAAACTAAATATGGAATTTGCAAGGCCACGGTGAATGAAGACGTCATCCTGAGATAATCTGTACTTTCCTTAAAACTTTTCTCAGACAACAGCAAAGCTGCTTGCTTGTGTCTTACGTTATTGAGGCTTTAATAATTGATCCGCAAACGGCCAGGTAAGAATAATCCAACTCTTAACATTTACCACTCATGCAGCTATGAAAATTTGTAGCGTTTTCCCAACTTTTTTCTGATATGTTTTACTGACCAGATGAATGAATCATTATAGATTCATTCGTGAATTAGTAATATGAACCATAACTTAATACATATGCTTCAAATATTCAATGTGGGATTACAAAAATACATTTGGAAGATTATTACACACAACACCAACACGAAGACTCATAATATGATTATTTAATAGATTTTAGTTTGAATATTTCATTGGCACATTGTAATGGCATCCATGCGGTTTCTTTGGTTCAGTTTCCAGGAGTTCGGCACACACGGATCAGTACTGGCAGAGAGCGAGTATGAACTGAAAATGCTGGCTGTGTTCAATCACGTCCTGGAGGAAGTGGAAAACTTAAGCAGGAAGCACCCTCCTGTCTCTTACCTGGTAATGTTGAAGTGTTTCCATTGGCAGAGTGTTCCTGTCTGCAATCCGTTTGGATTCACTTTTTATAGGCATGTTTTTACTGTCTTTTTTCTGTTTCTTGCTTTTTTTAAATGTGTCTTTTTATCTGTTTCAAGCACACTGGCTGTCTGTGTGATGCTGTCATAGCCATTTTGAAGGTACCACTGTCATTCCAGAGATATTTCTTCCAGAAGCTTCAGTCCACCAGCATTAAAGTAAGTACTCTGTATAATGCAAAAAAAAAAATATATAAATGAAAATATTGATTAATAAACATAAATTATTAAATAAAAAAATGAAAATAGGTACTTTAACAGTAATAAAATTGTGATTTATTTTTTTTAAAGAAAAAAAAGGCCTACAATTAATACTCACCAAGCTTCAAATGTGAGTAAAAATCAGCGTTGGCGAGTATATGACACAGTGTTACTCGCCAGTTGGCCGGTAACATTTTTTAAATTAATTCGAACAATGCCTAGGAACGCAGTATGGTTTAGCACGATTATCTAATTGCAAAGACTGCATCGTAATTATAAAAACATGTAATCTGAAGCGCTGCTTGTTTCAGAGTTAAAGCTGCAGTATGGAATAATGACAGATAGTGGTTGAAATGGGTACTGCGGTCTAAATTCAAAATATTGTTTCTCCCGCCCCCTCCCCATCAGACTCAGCGCTCACGTGGGTTGTCAGATTGAGGACATGCAACACGAACGAGCGCAAATGACAATGGAAGGCAATGAACCTTACACTGTAAACCGATGAGTTGATTTATCCGCATTTTAATATGCCTCTGCTCATAGAGCATTTTAAGATGGATGCCGAGGCTTTTTAGGTCGGGTGGAATCTGTGATCTCTGACTCAGTTCGTTTACTGGCTTCCATGGCTGCAGTATGCTGTGTTTTCTGCAAACTGGCAACCCAGGCCATCAAAGTATTATTGGGTAAACTGTAAGTGGGCGGGATCACACAGACCAAAACAAAAATCTGTAGGGTGTAAACTTTGAATTGGATGATCAGGGTAAACTGTCCTTATTTTGTCTTCTGGGAAACATGCATGTATTTATGTAGCTTCTGAAGTGCAGTACTAAATGAAAAAAAAAAAAAAAGATCTTTAATCAAAATAAGAAAAATTTACACATCATTATCCTGTTTAAAAGTTTACACCCCCCGGGCTCTTAATGCATCGTGTTGCCGCCTTGAGCATGAGTAAATGTTTTTACCTTTTGTAATAGTTATGTATGAGTCCCTCAATTGTCCTCAGTTTGAAAAGATGGATCTCAAATTCATACAGTCACTGCTGGAAAGGGGTCAAATATGCAGAAGATGCTGGAAAACCAAAGAATGTGCAAGAGCTGGAGGATTGTTCGGAAGAACAGCAGGAAGTTGAACTGTTCAGGACAAACAAGGGACTCATGAGCAACTATCACAAAATATAAAAACAGTCGTAGATCATCCAGAAAATGTCACACAGTATTAATATTCAAGGGTATCATCACCAAATTGCTCATGTGATCTTCGGAAGAAGTCGCTCTTGCAGGACGTTTTGATACCATTCTTTATTCATGGCAGTGTTTTTGGGCAGAATTATGAGAGAGCCCACTCCCTTGGTTGAAAAGCAACCCCCACACATGGATGGTCTCAGGATGCTTCACTGTTGGCTCAACACAGGACTCATTATATATATATATATATATATATATAACATTTTAAATGTTGTTTGTTTCAGCTTGCTTTCTCCCCATCTCCTCGTACACCAAACGAGCCAATCCCAGTACAGAACAACCAGCAGCTGACTTTAAAGGTGGAGGGGGTGGTGCAGCACGGTTCCTCTCCAGGCATGTTCCGCAAGATTCAGGCCGTCTGCCTCCAAGTCAGCTCTACTTTACAGACAAAACCAGGATCCGACTTCAAGGTCAGTTCAACCCAGAGTCCAAAACATTTTGCTCACATTGTTGATCACCCAGTGATATTTTTCCAGCAGTAATGAAGGATTCAGTTGTGTGCTTTTTGCGATTTTTTTTTTTTTTTT